AGTGACACGATGTTTGTTAGGTCTCCACGTTGGTCCCCACGTTAGTAATGCACGTTAAATTGTCGGCCCCAGTCTAATTAGAGTAAATTGTGCACAAAACGATCGTATAGCGGCAAACCAAACCCTATACAGAAATAGACGTGCACACAAAGATGTCCCTAGTTTTAGTTGTTTGAGGCCAGATGGCCAATTGGGTAGTGCTCTGGCTTTTTATGCCACAGGCTTTCGGTTCGAATCTTGAAGATGACAGGGATGTTTCATAGTGGTTCGTAATCAACAATCTAATTATTAGCCTAAAGTGTGCCCAAAATGACCGTAGAGCTGCAAAAAAAACAAATCAAACCTAGTTTTAGTTGTTGGGTCGCTATTTCTTCCATCGCCCTATCTCACGATTGTATCGTATCGACGTTAGATATTTTTTATCTCCGAACTACATCGGAGCGATTTGTTAAAGGTGCCAGTTCATTGTTATTTTTTACTTCTTTGTGGTTCGCAGGGCTCCAGACACGTCGATTGAAGACGCCGAGACACGGGACGGGTTGTTTCGTTGAATCGGATTCTATCTCGAAAGGAAATCGATGAAGAGATACTGTGGGAGTCGGATGCTGAACCAGATAGGAAAAAAAAAGCATTAAAAAAAAAAGAAGGAAAGGGTGGGTGTGGCGGGAAGCAGGCATTCAAGAGGCACGAGAGGCTTCATTTTCAGAGGGATTGAATTGCCGATGAAAGCCACCAATACTGTCTTCAAGCTACGCGTGCTTCTGGTAAGTGCTGATTGAGTAACAGTGGTGAAGCCCTTGCTTATGGCATAAAGATAACTGTCTCTGTATTGTTAGCTGTATTAGGGAAAAAAACAGATTTTCGAACTCGGTTGTCTTCATACAGAAGCCGCCTGATGGCCGAGTGGCTAGCGCTCTGGCCTTTGGTAGCACAGGCTTAAGGTTCGAATCCTGGTGTTGGCATGAATGATTGTTAGTGGTTGGAAATCCACGTCAAACTAATTGGTCCAAAGTGTGCACAAAATGACCGTAGAGCAACAAATCAAATCCAAATCAAACCAAACCTCACATAATAGAGAAACAGACGTTTACACCAAGGTGCTCCTAGTTTTAGTTGTTTGCGGCCAGATGACCAATTGGGTAGTGCTCGGTACCACAGGTTTTAGGCCGTGGATGTTTGTTAGTGGGTTCGTAATCGACAGTCTTAAAATTGTCCCAGTCTAATGAGCCTAAAGAGTGCCCAAAATAAACGTAGAAAGACAAAAAAAATCAAAACTAGGCCTAGTTTTAGATGTTGGGTCGCTATTTTTTCCATCGCTCTATCTCACGATTGTATCGTATCGACGTTAGATATTTTTTTTTTTCTCCGAACTACATCGGAGCGATTTGTTAAAGGTGTCCGTTCATTGTTATTTTTTACCTTTTGTGGTTCGCAGGGCCCCAGACACGTCGATTGAAGACGCCGAGACACGGGACGGGTTGTTTCGTTGAATCGGATTCTATCTCGAAAGGAAATCGATGAAGAGATACTGTGGGAGTCGGATGCTGAACCAGATAGGAAAAAAAAAAAAAAAAACCATTAAAAAAAAAAAAAAAAAAAAAAAGGAAAGGTTGGGGGGGTGGGGGAGAAGCAGGCATTCAAGAGGCACGAGAGGCTTCATTTTCAGAGGGATTGAATTGCCGATGGAAGCCACCAATACCGTAATCTTAGCACAGCTTTTTTTCTTCTTTATTTCTCCCCTTCTAATTCTATAGGCCTCTTGTTTCGGTCCAGTAGGTTTTTATAGCTCGTCTCGGAAGTCCTGTATTTTGCATTTCAGTTAGGATGCTATTCTGTTTTCACATGTGAATTTGTGGATGTGTAACATAAAATTAAGCGTAGTTTTGTCGTCAGACATCGAAATGTGAATTAGTCAGTATGAAGATGTTTTGTAAAGAGGAAAAAGAAAGTATAATGTTTTATTGTTTAGAAAGGGGTTTCCAACCTGCGGACTGCCTTGAACGTTTTTTGGCCCTTGTGATTTATGACACTTTTCAAAATATATTTATTTTATAATGACCAAAGTAGTGAAAACCAATGTATTAAAAAACACATTATGCGTGCATCTATATATTCAAAAATTAATTGTCGAAATTATGAGAAAAAAATTAACTGTGATTTTAAAATAATTTTCTTGCGAATATATGACAGATATTGCCTGTTTTATTTGTGAGTTTACAGTTATGAGTTCAAATTGAAATTGACCAAACAAACGGACGCTAACCTGCAACAATTACGATCTGCAAATACTCAAATTGAGATAGATTTGCAAAAGCTAAGCGAAAGAGTGGAGAAACAAATATGCACTAGTAAAATGAAATATTTTTTAATGATTTCATTTTTAGTGTTATATATTCCTTTTACAATGTGCGTTTAGTATCATTATTATTAGATTATCTTTGCTCGCATGTAACAATAATAGTAAACACAATATAAATAATTCAATATGTTTCAATTTTCACTCCAAAAAGTATCTATAGTGGGTCTAAATCTAATATGAGGTTACATAAATTTATATGCGCCCCGCGGAATTAAGATGCATTTCCAAAATAACCCGCAAAATCATTTGGGTTGGCCACCCCTGGTTTAAAAAGTACGTTTTGCTATTCGTTATATTAACCAATTGATTGTTACTTAGAGTACTCGCTCCAAAAGCGGGCGTTACCGTCTTTGGTAGTTGTAAAACCATCTGGGGTGAAGATAGTATACTCGGGGTCATTTAGATGTCATTTAATAAAAATTAGGGAACGGTACAGGCATAAAGAGGGAAGAAAAAATATAATAATTATGTTTCCTTCATCAAATTCAGTTTAGCGTAGTCGCAAATGTGTTAATAAAAACAAAGAAAGAAACCGACTGCAAATAGCGAATGGCGGAGATTTAAGAATATTGCTGACAAAAATATGGTATGCATTATCTTTTGATCTAAGTTCAGAAGTTTTTTTTTTTAAAACGCCGTTTGCTATACGAGGGTCACTCTGAAATTTTTGAGATACGGCTAAATGGTATAAGTTTAATTTACCAAATTTTAAGAGTATTCATCAATATCAATGCACTTTTGCAGATGCTTTTTACAAAGATTAATTCAGTCCATCCATTTCTTGGAATTGACGAAAAATATGCTTTTTATAGCCTCATCAATCTCATCTTCGGAATGAAAACGGCGACCACGTTAATTTTTCCCTGAAATTAAAGAAAGCGAAAAGTCACGCATAACAAGATCAGGGAAATAGGGTGGATGTTCTATCACTTTGATGTGTTTTTTAAGAAATTCGACTGTTGATCTTGCTGTATGAGAAGATGCATTATCATGGTGAAGCATGAGTCCCCTTACATTCCACTTCTTGAAGAATTTCTGGAAGACACGTAGTGGTGTACCAGTTAGCTGTGATTGTCTTCTGTCCCTCCAGCTTGATGGCTTTGACCAGACCCGTACTTCTGAAAAAATCGGGCATACATTACTTTTTTTCATTGCTCGTTGTTTTTTCACTATTGTTGGTTTGGGGTCATCTTCAAAGGCCCATACTTTACTTTCTTGTCGAGTTGGAACGTCAAAAAATGGTATGTAAGTTTCATCACATGTTATAATTTTAGAAATAAGGCGGTGTCCACCATCGTTAAGTAATTTTATAGTTTCTTTGCAGATTCTGGCACGCTCCGTTTTTGGTGTTCTGTTAAATTAGGGGGTGGGGACCCAACGACAAACTAATTTTTTTCATATGCAGTTCTTCATGAATAATCCTATGTATAGCTGCGGATCAATGTTAAGTTTCTTCTGCATCATTTGGTAAGGGCGATTATTATCATCGGCTAACATTTTTCGTATATCCGACACATTTTCTGGAACTACAGCTGATGAAGGTTTTCCTGTGTTTTTTCTTCCAGAGAAACAGAGAACTTCGACCTCTACGAAATTCTGTAAACCGTCTAAAAATACAGTAGCAAGAGATGGAGCTTCCTCCATATGCTAGTTGTAGATGTTGAAGGCATTCTTCATGATTTAACCCCACTTTAAAATCATAGAAAATCATAGCGCGATAATGCTCTCGCGCGTCAATTCCATTTTCCTTTCTTCCAAAATCTATTCTACGACAGCTAAATTGCAATTGTTGCCACAAATTATCATCTGCGGCTATAAAAGTGTTCAAATTTACAAATTCAACGAATATTTTTCCTGCGTTTGCCATCTGTCACTGTCTCAAAATTTCAGATTTACCTCGTATTAAATAAATTAGCGGTAATTTAAGGATATTACTGATAAAAATATGGTACTGTGCATTATATTTTAATCTAAGATTGCAAATAGCGAAATGCAGGGATTAAAGCATATTGCTAACGAAAATATGATATTATATATTTTTTATCTAAGTTTGGAATACTTTTTAAAACTCTGTTTGCTATGTTAAATAAAATTATCTGCTTAGAATATTCAATTGTTTTTATCTGGTATATGTATAGTTAGAATATCACCGTGACTTGATTGAGCAATTATACTACTTTAAAAATTTACACATTAATTATTAATTTACAATTAGATAAAAGGATATATAAATGAAACGAAATTCTGCAAAACTGGAATTTTAAGAGATCCAACTGAATTTTCTATCATAATGGGCAAAATTAAATAGCATTTCTCCTATATGGATAATAATAATAAGAATATTCATTTATCTGAGGTGCTCAGAACGATCAAGAATTGTTTTTTCTAATGGCTCGATTCATCGTAGTTAAATTTTACATAAAGTCATATAGACAGCATAATCGACAGATTTTCATAATTTGATGAAATATGAAATCAAACTACATGGTAATGTAGTTTGTAATATATGAAAAAGAACCTATATAAATAACAGAAACATAATTTATTGGGTACTTTGTAATTTATTGTAAATGAATAAATTTGAAATTTTGACAACAATATATATATATATTTTTTTATTATATTATAATTAGATTTATTATTCTCGTTAGATTACCGAAGTCAAGCATCATTGGGCGCGGTCAGTACTCGGGTGGGTGATCACCTGGGGAACACCGCGTGGCGTTGGCATTCACAAATTTGGGACCTGAATGGCCGAGTGTCTAGCGCTCTGGCCCTCGGTGCCACTGGTTTCGCAGTTCGAATCCCGGCAGTGCCATGGATGTTTGTAGTGGTTCCGAATCCACTTTAAGCTGTAGGTCCCGGTCTCCTATGACTGTAAAGCGTCATGGAGCCAAAGTCAGACTTCTACCTACGGATGCTCCATCACAACAGCAGCTGCTTCCTTCCCCTTCAATCATGAGTACGTATGGGCTCGTGGGCTTGGCCTGCCAAGTAGGTTAAGAAACAACAAACAACAAACATATTTATTATTTTTACAATTATAATATAATAAAAAATATTAAATATAATTTATAATAAATAATACAATGTATTACATATTTTATAGGATTACAAATTCTGTTTGAATCAACATATATTAGTAAAAAAACATTTTCAGATATGAATATTGAAAAAAAGTCTAATAAATAGAATGTAAATAAATAGAATGTAGTTGACTTATTCATTTTGTGTTAGATTTTTACAAAAGTCTAATCAAGTAACAAAACAAAAAGGATTAACCTGAATATCTCATATTTATATCATTTCAAATACCCACGAGTTAACGTGTAAAAAAAAAATTATTTTTAATTGTTGACTAAAACGAGTATTTTGAGTAAACTTGTATTATTGTAAGGCAAACATGGGTTTACTCATGATATCATACATCTGGAAGCAATAATTCTATCGCGATTCCATGTTATTTTACAAACAATGGATTTTATTTATAAACAAAATTCTTCTGTTAATTTAAGCAATCCAAAATGAGCTTTATATCATAATGAGAAAACTTAAAAAAATAATAATCTACTACAATGTTTTTAACGCATTCATCTTGCAAAAAGCAGTAAATCATGATCCGGGAAGTATGTTGCATATTATCCCACTTAGTCGACCGGAAATCTAGACCAAGTCCATGAACAAGTATGTTCTCATGAAAAAGAGTGGACAGCTTATGATGTGATGGAGTATTCGTAGATAGAAAGAACTACCCTGTATTTGTATATCTTTCGGAAGAAAGCCCGGAAAACTTCCATCAGGTAGTCCGACTCATGAGGCACGATGCTGAACATCACAAACGCCATGGAATCTTCTCGTTTTTTTGAAACAGTGTTTACAACAAGCCTTAATACTCAAAAGCAGCTTGCCGTTGAGCCACGAGTCGGACGCAGGAAGTCTACAAAACTAATAACACGAAATATGAAAACATGAAAAAATCGCATTATTATTCAAAAAAATAAAAGGAATTCCACGATTTCCAACTTTTTATCATACAATTTCAAACGTTCATGTAAAAATTTTTGTAAGACGCTGATTTTTTTCTATGGCTTGTTAAAGGCTTACACAGATTGAAAAATAACAAGTTTACTTATAAAATATTCAAGTTAACATTCCTCTTACAAATATTGTAAAGTAACAACTTTTTCTCAACATATTTTCCAAAAGGCGTTAGATCAAATAAACGTTTTCAACAGATATATTTTGAAAAAAAAAAAAGTATTGCCTTGTTAACAAGAAAAAAAAAATATATAATAGCGATAAATTTTCCTGTATTTATTTTTTCCCAACATTTTTTTTTTCTTCTTTTTATCACACGAGAATTGTAATAGGAGCTCATAATAAACCGACAAGTAAAGGCTAGGCTGTATGACAAAGGAAGACTTTTGACTAAAAAAAAAGAAAAACCTGGAGAGCTAGTTGAAAAAAAATAAAACCATATTTTTCGTAAGATTATCTCAATTTTTCTGTCGACATTTTTGGTTACACTAGTTTACATGTCTTAAACAAAGTATGAATACAAAATACCAATTTTCCTTCGCTTAAAAAAACATCACCTTCTAAGCTTTTTTCTTGACATGAAATAGAAAGGAATTTAAATTCCCCTTTATTTCCTTTCATAAAGTATTTTCAAAGGTTTATAAAGATTTACAATTTCTCCCAATGATCCTGTTTCAGGTGGGAAAAAAAAAAAACGTAAAGTTTGCTTGCTTTGAAATATGACGATAACATTAAAGCAGTGTGTCTCTATTTGGAGCCGTTTTTTGTGTAGGTAGTTTTGGGAATACAGAATATAAAATTTTACAGTAATAAAAAGATATTTTTTCTCTGTATTAAAATAATAAACTAATTTATATTGAAAAGTTTAATTGCTTGAAATGTGAGCAAAATTTAATTTTTTTTAATTTAAAGCTGTGCTCAAGATTAAAATTATTTTAAAAATATTTTTATTGTCACCTGTTTATGTTTATGGCTAAACATCTTAATACCAGAGATAGTCGTTTTTTTTTCACAAGCGCTTAAATCTATGATTTTTTTAATTTTATTTTCGTTAAGGAGCTTTTGTAACTCGTACTAGAGTACCGTAAGTACGATAGTAAAAGGTTTTCTTTAATATAGGAAAAAAATAATAAGATTATCATTTTTTGAGAAAAAAATTAATGAAAGATTTTGATATAAAAACTATTATTTGTTTTTTTGTTTTATTTGTTATATTTTATAAAGATTAGTTAATTATTTGTTAATAAAAATTTATGATTTTTTTTATTTAGTTAATTGTTTAGACAGTTTAAATATGTAGATAAAAGTATTTTTAAACAATATAAATAAAATATATTAACATGGAATCAATATTAAATATGATAAATTATATCATGTTAATATAATGCAAAAGGCCTTTTAAATATATTATTTCTTTATTATATTTTTATTTAATTATTATTATATTATAATTAATAATAATAATTATTATTATTTCGCGTTCTATTATTATTGCATTAATTTTTATGAGCTTTACACTTCGTAAAGTTTTTATTTTTAGATAGTCTAAAAGTTATTCTGCAAATTTTAGAAGACTTAAAATCTTTTTTTATTTTTTTATTATTTTTTTTTATCTAGTTTTATTTTTTTTTTAACTACATTTTATAATTTAATCTGTTAAAAAGGAAAATATTTTTGATAAAAAAAAAAAATTATGAAGGTGAGAAACAAATTGTAAATAATAGCAAAATTATGTATTTACCATTATCACTGTAAAATTATTTTATAGTGAATGCAATAATATATTTTTTTCAGCATAACACACGGTAAACTTTATCTATGAAATGGGCCTTAAACTAAGAGCTAAGATGTATTTGAATATTAAATTTTTTTTTTCCATAAACTATATTCGTACATAAAGAAACTATTAAGAACATTAAAATACAAATATAATTTAAACTCTAAAGACATTAAGCACCCCCATCTTCCCCGTGTAGTTCAACTGACGAAGCAAGATTCAGAACGTCACAAATTCCATCAAGTCTTATTTTTGAAACAGTGTCTACACCAAAGCCGCCAGCGGATTGAACCTCTGCCCAAATGCCCACTAGCAGTTCATGTTGTCATTGAGCTACGAGTCGGGCTTGGGGAAGTCTACAAAATTATATCATGAAATAAATCGAATTATCAGTCAAAAAATGATTGTAAATCCCAAGATTATTTATAAATTTTTTTATCATACGATTTCAAACGTTCATGTGAAAAATTTTGTGTGCTACTGATTTTTTTTTTTTTCTATGACTTACTAAAGACTTAGAAAACTTGTTATTTTACAATTTTTGTTATAAAATATTCAAGTTAACATTCTTCTTACTAATGTTGTAAAATAATAACTTTTCTCAACTTATTTTCAAAAGGCTTTAGATCAAATAAACGTTTTCAATACATATATTTTGAAAAAATATGTTGCTTTGTTAACGGGAAAAAAGCAATATAATAGCGATAAATTTTCCTGTATTTAATTTTTTTCCGTGATTCTTTTTCTTTCCAATCATCACACGAGAATTGTAATAGGAGCTCATAATAAACCGTCAAGTAAAGGCTAGGCTGTACTTGACAAGGGATGCTTTGACTGAAAAATAAACCAGACAGAGCTAGTGCCAAAAAAATAAAACCATATTTTTCGTAAGATTATCTCAATTTTTCTGTCGTCATTTTTTGGTTATACTAGTTTACATACCTTAAACAAAGTATGAATACAAAATACCAATTTTCCTTCGCTTAAAAAAGCATCATCTTCTAAGCTTTTTCTTCCCATGAAATAGGAAAGAATTTAAATTGACCTTTATTTCCTTTCATAAAAGCATTTTCAAAGATTTATAAGATTTACAATTTTTCCCAATGATCCTGTTTCAAGTGGGGAAAAAAAACGTAAAGTTTGCTTTGCTTTGAAATATGACGATAACATTAAAGCTGAGCCTCATTTGGAACCGTTTTTGTGTAGTCAGTTTTGGGAATACAGGATATACAATTTTGCAGTTATAAAAAGAATTTTTTTCCCTCTATAGTAAAATAAAAATTTATATTGAAAATTGTAATTTATTTAATTTTTTTTGAATTTAAATCTGTGCTCAAAATTATAACTATTTTAAAAATAATTTTTAATATTAGAGAGATATTTTTTAATAATTTTAAATTTGTAATAATTTTATATCTTTTAATTATTTATAAATAATTTTTAATATTATTAAAGACGTCCAAAATACGGTATGCAAAAACTCTCTATTATCTGTACATGTTGATGATTTAACATATTAATACCATAGATTTTCATTTTTTTTTAATACGTGCTTAAATTGATTTTTTTTTTTTTTTTTTTTTTAAGCAGCTTTTGTAATTTATATTAGAGAGTTAATACGACAATAAAAGTTTTTCTAAATATAGGAAAAAAAATAATATCATTCTGAGAAAAATTAATGAAAGACATTAATCTATTTTTTTTTCTTTATATTTAGCATAGCTGACGTTTCGCTAGCATTATTTATTTTTTGTGTTAGTTGTTATATGTAATAAATATTAATTAGTTGTTATTTGTTAATAAAAAATAGGGTTTTTTATTTAGCTGATTGTTTAGTGTGTTACAGTGTTAAATATACAGTAGTTTACAACATTAAAAATATAACTAACAACCTGTGTACTACAGTCCA